TTTTTTTTCCTCCCTTTGCCTCCCCACCCCCTCCTGCTCTTTCCTTTCTATTTCCTGAAAGGAAGCTGCAGTTCATCCAGACAGTCAGGGGTGTGGGGGGAACCTGGAAGATGCTCTGCTTCCTATTTTATTCATGGCAGCTAAAACCATGCTGAGGAATGTGGAGCAGAGATCCACCATCCTGCATTCCTCTTGTGATTTGGAGCATGTAACATGTACAGAGTGCTTTTAACACTGCTCTGGGGGTCATGGGGCAGCCAGTCCTGCACCTCGAATGCGAAGCACTGGAGTTCATCCTTTTACTTTGGAAAGGGCATTGGTGAAAACCCTTTTATAGTTCCCAATGCTGCTTAGTAATCCTTGTATCTTCTCAGCTAACTGGTATTTTTAGGCTCCTTCAGACCTCTTGCTTCATACTCTCCATCTTAAATTTAAGACCTTTGTTGGAAAGGTAAACCTCTTGCTGATTTTCATTTGCCCTTTTAAATAGGGCTTAATACTCCTTGCTTTTCCAGAGATGTGGATTTGCAGCAGGTCCTTGAGGTATAAAGCTGTCTGGATTGTCTTGAACAGGGAAATATGGTTAGCATGAGGATGGATGTGTGATAGAAAACACTCTGCCACAAAAAGTGATGAAGGATTGCTGGAGCCTTTTCTGTGGCTGAGACATGCTGGGGGTTTGTAGAGTTCAGCTGCATTTATCCTTTGTTGTTTCAAAAGGCTGATTGGATTACTGCAGCTTGTGGGGTCAGGGCCTGGCTGGGCTGAGCAAAGGAAAGAATTGCTGTCCTAAAGAGTGCCCAGCCTGAATGGGCAGGGGAGAGGCAATGGCTTAGGAAACAGGGCCCTGGGGACATGTCACAGCACCTGAAGCCTCAGCCCAAGGACTCCCCCAGCAGACACTCATCCTCTGTCGTGCATGGTGGTGCCAAGCTGTGGAATTGTGGCAGTAGGACCATGGTCTGTGTTGCTCCTTGTGTGCTGTGCTTTGCCTCTGCATGTGCACACGTGCCCCTGTGCAGTGGCCATGCTTGTACTGGCACATGCATGTGGCACGTCCAGGCTTCACCAGCTGCCTGTGGCTGAGCTTGGAGTTTTGGGAACAGCACAGTGGGACTGGAAATGATTCTGTTCCCCTCTTCCCTTTCCTGCTCACCAGGATGTGCTGTTTGTTGGAAGACAAGGATGAGCAGTGCCTGGGTGCCGTAACCCAGTGCTCCGGGCAGG